GAAGAAAGTGGATGATGCATAGACCATTGCAACATGTGTCAGAAGTATCGTCAAATTACACTCGAATATTAAAATCTTGGTACAATAATTCTCCATACTCATGGCATACTCAGACCGGGACTTTTCTGACTTATTTCTGGAAGTAATTGCAGCCAGATTCATCAAGGCCCGGCCATAAATCTGGTCGGATACTATGTATGTATACATCTGATAATATGTAAGATGGGTGCTATTGTGCAAGGAATATGAGTGTGAACGATATACAGAAAACCAGGTTTCGAAATCACACAGATGTCAAGGTAGTCGTATCCAAGCAGAGAGTACAAAATGCACCGAGTATCCATCCATATAGAGCAATACAATGAAGTAATGAGCCAACGTTCAAGCCCGTAGGCCACACCAACACAGTATCCAAAGTTGCTCCTCTCTGTCTGGCGTTCGGCGCCCAGCCTACTTCACCCGACTATCCTACCTACATCAGCATTCTCGCAACAGGCTCACTTCGACTTCGACTCTCGAAGACCAATGCACATGATGTCAACACCATAGCCGACCTCTCTTCATGTACCAGATACGTATCTCGTCACCCTCAATCAGACCTTGATGACCCCACACTGGCCTCCTTCCCTGAAGACCACTAGATCGCCCGCTGTACCCGCTGGCGCCCAGCAGCTCGGCTATGGCTGCCTGCGCCCCGCTGCCCTGCAGCACCCCTCCTTCACCACCTCACGCCCCGTCAGCGCCTTTGGCAGCAGCGCAGCATCAAGCAAGAGCGCAGCAGCACTTCCGCATTGCCAGCACTGGCCAGAATGCCTGGCCTGGACCACCCTACTCCTTTTGTTGAAGTGGCAGCTTCCTGGATGCTGCATGTGGCCTGGCTGGAAGCTTCCAGGAGCTTCCGGTTGCGCCTCAGACCCTGCGCCCAGGCCCGAGACTACAGTTGAGGGCCTGGGCCCTTTTCAGTTGGGCACGGCCTGAGTCTCCGGACTTGGGCTGTTTGCTGCATCTGTGCAGGGCTCCCAGGCAGGTGCGTCGGCGGCACTGCTTTTGCAAAGGCCGATAGCCTGCTTCCCAATGTATTGGCCCTGCTTTGTGTGTATGTGCCCAGGCGCAACTGTCAACGCCTGGGCCAACTGTATGACGCAGGATTGTGAGGCTCACGCGTCTACCCAACCAACTGGCGTGCTGCGAGAGCCTGAATACCCACATATGGAAATGTCGAATTTTGCCTCTGACGAATGTTCAGGCCCGCCTTCACTTAGGGCGGGCACTCGGCTTGCTGGGGGCCTTGGCCCAGATCATGTGATGTCTGATAGGGCCCCTTAAGGGCTTGTTCCTCGCAATATGCCCTAATAAATTGAGTCAAGAGATCAACTGGTAGACCGTGATAGAGACGCGTCACATGCTATGTATGGATACATCTGATAATATACCGTCATAGAGAACTGCGCGGCGAATTGTAGGCAGAGGGGAAGACGAGGACAATAAGCGAGGGGCTGTGACAGACTGTTTCATCAGGGGTGAGGTCCTACTAGCGCGGCGAATCTGGACGTGTTTGTGGAACGGTTCAAAAACGCGAGATTGAACTGGTTTTCTGCATCTCTGCTTAAACCATGTCCAGATTCAGGAGCTTAATCCGATCCTCTTTGCTAGTGGGACCTCACCCCAGGAGGCTGTATACATGCGTATACATATATTGTCACACCCCTAAGAACTAAAAGACCGCACTTTGCGAAACAAACGCTATTAAAAAAAAACAGAAGACAAACATGTAATCTGTAAATGATTCTGTATCTAGATAGGTGTTAATCTTTTCTGATGCTATCTTTCCTCCGCCCCACCCCCCGAAAAAAAAAAAAAACAAACAAAGTGGTCAACTTCACCCAGTGTAGGTAGGTGTCCCTCAAATACGTCGGGGTTGTTTCTGTATAACCATTTTTCACATTTAGACTTTGCCCAGTTTTTTTTTTTGTTTTTTTTTTGAAAAAATTTGGACCATTTCTCGATTTATGCGTGTCATCCTTGCACAGGGGCCATGCTAATCTTCTCTGTATCGTTCCAATTATAACAGACGTCCCGAAGGACGGGCTTTGTCAAGTTTTAAGTTTTAACCCATTTAGGCTTTGTGAAGTTTTTCTTCTTAAAAAAAAAAAAGAAAAAAAAAAAAAGATGAAGGGCACACTGAAACCATTCATTTTTCTCATTCTTCTTTTAACTCCCCATTCACCGTGCCTCTCACGCACAAGGCTCGCCATGTTGATGAAGTTGAGCGCGAGCTGCCCACATCCCCTTTGTGCCATAAGGCCCGTAACGGCCCACTTGTACGCTATATTAGCGCCTTGTGGACCCAGCCCAGTCCATCCCCACCGACTCTCCCGACATAAAACAAAAAAAACATGTTAGAAAATTCAAATCAAAATGAAATTTAATGAATCGTTCATATTGCAACATCTCCACTAGTTCTCTAGACGAAAAAAAAAAACAAGGACAGAAAATCATCGTTCATTGTGGCATTCAACGAATTATAT